CTCGGGGAGGGGCGGGCGGGCGGGGGAAGAGGCCTTTTTAGTTACATAACCACAAAACTACACGCGTGTAGCTCCCGTGTTTCCGCAGCCGAGCCAGGAGACGGTTTCTGCAGAAGAGGCAGGGTTTCGCTCTCACTGAGCGTCCCCGGGCAAAGACTGGGGATGTCGGGCTGCCTTCCCAGCCGCCTGCAAACCCGCGAAAGCAGGGCTGCTCGTGGCAGGAAGCCCGCTCCCCGCTAGCAGCGCCAGGGCGCCGCTGGAATAAGCCTCCCCAGCACCTGCCTGTGGTCTCTGCTGTGCGCACACCCCGCACGCCCAGGGAGCGACAGAGACTTTACCTGCTCTCTGCATGTGTGACATGTAAGTCCGAACCTCGGCTCCTACATTACTGCATTGCGAGCTCGTCCCTTTGGTTGTAGTGATCGGAAGCGAAGCTGCTTAAGCAGTGACATTGAACTCACCCGGGCGGCGTCCGCGGACGATCAATAGACGTGCAACTTTTTAATATCGCGATTGTGTCTGGCAAGCGGAGACTGTTCCGGGTCCCTCTCCTGCTCCCTTCCCCACTGCAGCTAGTGACAGATCTGAGCCAGCGAGCCGAGGGCGTTCAGGCAACCCTAGGCACTTGCTCTCCACAAATATTTTTCCTCTCCCTCAAATCCGCGTCAGCCATCCAGGGTAAGACCCAGCTTCTACACCTCGCTAAAGGGCAGGGGGAGACACTACCGAGGGAGCGAGCTGTCGCTTTTCTTTACTTGCTTCCTTTTTTGTGCTGTTGTTGTTGCAAGCCTAGAGGCAGGCACGGAGCGCGTTTTGTCGGACGGCCCCCGCGAGGCTGATCCGGGCTGCAGGAGCTGCGCCACAATGGGCAGGGATCTCCCGGGAGCGTCTCTTTCATGCGAGCGTGCGGGGCTGCTTGCGAAGGGTGCTTGTCTTTTGGCCGCTATGTGTTAAATACAGTCGGGGAAGTGGGAGGAAATAACTGTTCTGCCTCCAGTTCCTGCCACATTGGCTTGCACGGAGCACGGGGGTCCAGTGCGTGAATGGCAAAGCTTTTCCCGAAGAGGTCTGCCTGGGGCAGATCAGAAGCGGCAGCTTTACCCAGGGGGGCTGTCGTGCTCATCGGGTGGAGGCGACTGAAAGGCGATGGCGGGGAAGGAGGGGGGTGCCGTGTAGCACAGGCGAGGCGAGGAGTCCGACAGGGGCACCCGGGAGCAATCGCCCAACAGGTGACTCTCTCCTGCGGGGGGGAACCAGCGCTCCTGTTTATTTAGAGGCTCCGCCGTTGATTTACTAATAGAGGTGATTGTTAAGTGGCAGCGAGGCGTTTCTGACCAGCCCCCGGGCAGCCCGGGGAGGAGAAGTGAAGAGGGTCTCTCCCTTCTCCTGAAGGCAAGCTGACAAAAGTCAGACAGAAAATAATCCGCAAAGCCCGTTCGGATTGGGGGTGGGGTGGGGTGTTCAAAACCAGCCATCTGAAGCAGCACATGCTCTGCGTCCCAAACCCCAGCGCATTTCCCTGGGTTTCAGCGCACATGGCTGGCTGTGCATCACAGCCAGGGATGTAGCCCTCGAATAATAAAACTAACTAAAATCCCCACAAAGCAGGCACGCGCCGGAGGGAATAAACGCATGCCTCTGAAATGGGAAACGCTGCGAAAAATCTCGAGCGGGTCAAGTATTTTCTGACAGATTTTTTCATACTCCAAAAATCTAGTTTTTAAACAAAGATCAACGTGTTATGCTAAAGTGTTGAGCTGACTGTTAAAACATTTGGGGGGGATAATGACAATGTAACAAAGGCCTGGTTTGGAGTGAATCATCACCCTTTTAAAAGTTAAAGCAATTTTCAGGAGAATAGCTTTCAGCAAATGCTTTACATTATTCAAAACGGCCAAATAATGCTCTATTATAGCGCCTGAATGCTGCCAGTCAGCCCATAAGTGCAATTTGTGCAAAGGCTCGGTGCCTTATCTCCACTTCTTTATAAAGAGGTGAATATAAAACAATTTCTTCCAAACCCAGACAGAGAGCACGAAAATTGCTTCCCTTTCTGCAATCAGGGCAATTTAACTGGAGTGCAATTAGCACTATTAAATGTCGATTCTGCATAAACAAATCTGACTAAGAAGCGAAAGTGGGGTGAGAACCTCATATAAACTGAAACTGATTTTTTTAAATTATGTATCCGGGTCCTTTACAATTGATCCGTGACGTTTGCATCTCGGAATACATTTACATCATAAATACACTATGCTTAAATCAACATAAAGCTTTAAAAAAATCTCAATGTGAATGCTAATATAGAAGAATGGGCTAATTAAATGCAACAGTTCACTTCCTTTGAACAAATATTGTTTCCCGTCTTTTCTTTGCACGGGGCTTTTGATCTGTGCTACTCCCAAACTTGCTGCCTTTAGGAGGTAAAGCTGGGAAACAATTCGTTCATTAAAAGATGATTGGAAGTCTCCTGGGTTCATATTCAGGAGCCTCAGCTGAAATGGCTCTTCAGTTCAAACAGGGCTCTGGGAAAGAGCTGCCAAATATTTTCCAAATAAATCGATTTAGCAGCAGTTAAATGTACGGTTGTTGTACAATTCCCTGGTAATCCGAGGAGGGACACGGAGTTTACGCACGGGTGTTGGGGGGTGGGGAGGTGTAAAGCTTTCTAAGTTCAGCAGAAGCAATCAAATTCCCTGCCAAACACAAGGGACGTGTAGGGGAAACCCGCAAAATGCCCAGCGTTTATCCAAATAATTGCATCCTACCATTTTTTAGCAACAGGACTTCCATAGGAGCTGCTCTCTCTCAATTATGCTTTTCATTTACATGATATGGAATCCACCATTGATTATCAGAGCGGCGCAGAGGGGGACCCGCTGATAAATTAATAACTTTACTTAAGAAAAGGCTTCCCCGCCACTCCGTCAAAGAGCAGATATTAAAAAGGGGAAGGCTGTAAGGAGATGGTGTTGAAATACCTTGGTGCCTGTTGAGTCCCCTGAATTCTTTCCGCCGTAGAGTTTTTCATTTGTGGATAAAGATGAAGTGCAGCTTTTGATTAGAAGGAAATCTTTTATAGTTAATAAAAAGGGAATGAACGCTGGGATCAAATGGATCGTGGGAATTAGATGGAAATTATGGAACTCTCCAACAATTTCCACTTGAGCTTTCATTTTGTATTTGTTACATAACTCCCTTCCATCCACTCCCACCCCCACCCCCACCCCTGCAAATGGGGACCCACGATGGAGCAACTGATGGACAGGGCTTTACTCTTTCCTGTCTTTAAGGTGCCACTATTTAGAGATAACAGGAAGACACGTATGACACGGCACTTGTGAAATCTTCAGGATAATTAATTTTGGGGGGGGGAGGGAAGGGACCCTTGCCTAGAAACCGCTCTCCAAACATTTGTCTCTACAACTAATTTTCTTCCGCTAAATTTATTTGGCCCATAATTTTAAACCTCCCTTGTTCTGTTTATCTCAGCCGCAGGCACATTAACAATTAAAGGGAAGACTGTGGTGTCAAAGGAAGGAAGGTGACTGTAGACTGTATGATGATTTTAATTACTACAATTATTGGAAGATTATTCAACAAGCATCATGGATTTGTTTACTGCATTGATAGGAAAGTCTGAAGAACATTTTCTGAGGATTTTATTATCTCCTTGGTTCACGTTCCTTACAACGCTGCTGTGGCACACAGGTTAGACATGCCAAGCTCAGCCGCAGCAGGTTTGAAACTCAGCCAATGCTCGCGCTCTTAAAGCTTTCTGTATCAAAAGGAGTGCGTCTCGAAATAGGAGTTGAATTAGCAAGCGGTTGGACCCGTGTTTACTGAGCTACCCTTTGCAGATAAGGCTGTGGGAGCAGCTCTGATGATGGCATTGGCAACTTGGTAACATTTTCAGGAAAGGCACCTGCCATATTGCTTCGGATGCAAGTCAAAATCCGAAAGGCATCCTGCATCCTAGGTCCCTTGACTTCCACTCCTGCCTCCAGCAGGGCTCATTAGACAGAGAGGGAAGCATTTACACAGGTTTAAGTTAAACGCGAGATTAGACATGTTTGCCCAAACTGAGCGCCTGGAAAGGGAAGACCCCCCCC